ATGCACGTTTTTGTATTGCTAAGATGACAGGCATATGTAGAGCCTCTTAGTAAACCAAAATGCCCGGTGGACGTAGGGGCCTCGTGGCCCCTCAAAATACCTTCCTTGAAAACATCATTCGAAGATCCAATTCGCAACGTAAGTGAATTTTGTATTACTCCTATTTTAACAAGTTTAATCGATATAGTATTAACGACGATAGTTTGATATGTTTAGCCCAGTGTCTGAAAAGCTCTCATGACCGACAGACCACAGAAAACTTGACTTTTTGCTTCTTTGCCAAGGTTATCAGTGCAATAGTGCAATGTCTAGACATACAAGTAACTAGATCGATAATTTGCATTTTCACCACCCACAAACATTACCTAACCCATTTTCTTTTATGTTAACCATCTTATTGATCGTTTCCCATTTATAAGGTTTCTTCTACTTACAATACGGGTACCACCACTCATTGCCATACGTAGTTGCAATTGCTCGGACACATTAATGTGAAAGTCAAAAATGAGAAGACTTATGGTTCACTTTATTACTTCATTAAGGCATAGAATTTGCATATGCGTTACGAGATGATAAACGATAAGGACCAGTAAAAAGAAGTACGCCTATAATTTGCGGAAGCGTTTCACATTATGGATCATTGGACCAAACTTAATTTTCCTACAAATGTCTAAAACGAGGCAAATATCGGTCGTTTAAAAAGTTGAAAGGCCTGTGATCAAATATATCGAAGGTAGGGCTCACAATTCCCTTTGTGACCGTATGAAAAATGCTTGCGTGCACAATAAATACTCGTGCAACCAATTCTATAAAAGTAATTGTAAATTTCGCAATGCATTTGTGAGCGAATTAGCATTTACACATATACCAGTGAAGAACACGGACATCATAGTCTCAGCGTGGCCAAAATGTTACCAATATCGATGTGGAACTTTATGAAATCAAACACTGACTTTTTTGTAGTAAATTGTTTTACTTTTAGGGATTTCGTCATTAAAATTTTCTGTAAAAAAATGTGTCGCACGGAGAATAGTGTTCGTCTGCCAATTTCAAATCATCCTCCAATTACCCATGTATTCCACACGTTCCCAATTCCAAGAGCACCGGTTAATAATCCTCTGTGAATACCTCGAATACGTTTTCTTATATTTGGAAAGGTTAAAAACTTGGAACGATTATAGTATATTAAGTATGGAGAACGGTAAGGGATTTTTACCGTTCGAAGACAATTGTTTGGAGGAGGAGCGAAGCGACGACTCCAATAATTATTGTCTGAGAACGGTAACCCTTAACGTTCGACGTGCTTATAACATTTTTTGCGCGATCGAAATTAAAATTATGCAACCAATATAAATATGCACTAAGAAATTAATGAGCAGAATAAATCGAAATGATCGAAGTGGTATGGTGTACATCACTAGGTAACCAGTTTATTTGTCAAAATTGAAATTAATAATTTCATAAAAATGTGCATGTGTCTGATGTAGTTTACTAGCTTTGAACTTCCTTTATGACTTTATGAGCGTCTTGCTATAGGAAACAACAGCAGAAATTGTACGTTTAATGTACCTAACAATAATTAAAGATTAAATGTAATGTAAGACTGTTGATTTTTAAAAAGGCGTCGGTAAGTATTTTTGCTGTTCTGTTTTTCGATCGGTAAGTAATTTTGGCGTCGTCGTAATCATAGCAACTGGTAAATTCTACGTACTGTCATGGAAACACCCATGGTAAATAGTCAGAAATGACCGATCGCGCAAAAAGTATAATTAACAAGGCTTCTATTATTAACCTGCAAAAAAAGGCGTTAACTAGTAGTTTCAAAGGTATTTTTAAAAACATTCGTAAGAATATTTCCGAAACGGTTTTTAAAGAAACTTCTAAGGTATTTAAGACAAGAGAACATTTATCAGAAGATTTCGTACGAGCTTGCCAAAAAGACTATGTTTTTAGTAGAGTAATATCTACAGAGCCGAATTTGACCTTTATTTTGGGAGTTATTGCGTGTTCTGCTACAGATAGACGTATCAGGCCAACATTTCTGCGAGTGCTAGAACAAAAAGTAATTAGTGATTAATTAAGACCCAATTTAGTGCCTCAAGTCGAAACTCAGCTAGCTATATATATGGAAGATAAACAATACAGTTTAAGATATTTGCATTAGAAACTGTAACCCTATTGACAAATACATCGTTCACACGATTTATGATTTGCGGATATTGCCCTGTTACCTACTAGGACGTCTTCCAATAAGAAGAATAGGAAAAGGAATTTTTCTAAAAAGCCTTTTTCGGAGGGGACCTTAAAAGCGTTTTTAAGAAAATTTCAAGAAAACGTAAACACTTTCTGAATCTGCAGAGTACGTCTCTAACGAGGTCATTAAAAATATTTCTAAGGAAGTACTACAGGGACATTGATTACTATTTCCTAATGGATATTTTTGTTATTATACACTGGCATGCTCTCGGGCGTACTGTGGTACAAATTAGTTATTTATGCATCAAGGGCATTAAGGCGATATTTATGCCGAGGGCGACAGAGCCCGAGGGCCTCCGGCCCGAGGGATTGTAAGTCGCCCGAGGGTTAAATATTGAGTAATGCCTGAGGTGCATACAACATTTTATTTTTCATCATTCCAAAGAATGCATTTCCAATATACAAATGTCATGATTATTGTTTGCCCAACATTAAAGTGCTCCATACGAATCAAGTTGCATTTTTTTATGACATAATATAACTCCGTCAATCAATTTGACAGGCCATTTGAGGGCATAATGAGATGACAATCCATTATGCCCTCTCATTATGCCCTTGCGCGTAATAGACTGCTTCATATGTCACATATGACAGATATAATTGACATATAATAGGCAAATGAAAAATAAAATATTTTTTAATAAAACGCCCTGTACCTTAATATAAATTTACCTTCGTAGTGCGCATATTTTTCTGAATTAAAAAATGATCTCTAGTTTAAGCTATTGTTGAGTTATTAAACAGTTAAAATTGTGGTTATACTTCTTACTTGCTCCTTGGAAAATTATTACCAACAGGAAAGATGCAAACGCATGAAAATAAACCAGATTACGCTGTATTTATCGTAACTTTTACTATCATTTTCGATCAATAAAATGCGTCAAATTCTTAGAAAAAAGTCTGACGACCAACACTAACCATCACAAAAGTTAGGCGCACTGAAACATAAAACATCTTCGACTATAAACTGTTAGTACGTAAGTAAGAAAATTTAAATTGGTCTACAAATACGGTCACTTATTTACGAAAATGATTCATTTCAAATGTAATGAAAATAATGCCATAAAAAGAATTTTATTCTACAATATCTTATATATGAAAGAGCCAATATTCCAGCTGAAGCACGAAAGATACTGGTCAGGCAAAATGAATCCTCGGTCCTATTTATATTATGTAATTTATTCGAATAATTTCCCTTGTGTTTGGTAATAAATATTAACCTCACAGTCATAACAACCCTTCAAAATGACATGCAGTAGAAAGCTTAGAAAATAAAACAAGTTGTAAAGCAGCATATGCATGATGAAAGCGCTTTTTTGGTAATACAGATCATATTTTATTAGCAAAATCAAAATAGACTAGAGTCTGCACATCTACACTATAGCAGAAAGCTTTTAGTGGAAATTTTAAGTCCCTAGCTATTTTGTAATTGCTGAGATCTCAGCCGGACAACCAGCCAACTAGCCAGCCATAACGAATATAATAGCGTATTTTTTTTCACGACCGCCAATTAGACTAAGCCTCTAAGGCTATATATTCACTCGAGCGTTCAAATTCGTGACTCACAATTGGGATCTCCGTAACGGTTGAAGATACAGTGTAGGTTAAATGGGCGCAAAGAAGTTGCCTCTTTTTGTGACTAAAAAATGCATTAAAAATTTTTCACAAATTATTGAAAATATCTGAGATGTCTCAAAAAAACTGAAAATGGCAAATTTCGTTCTCAGATTCTCTAGCTTAAACGGTCAGAAATATAAAACCAAGTCTAAACTCCGCCTGTAGTTCAATCTTTCTGATGATTCTATATTTAAGTAACTCTAAACTACCCTAATAAAGCGATTGTTGTTAAAAAAAAGTTTATAGTGTTAGCGTTAGCTACTGGATAATTCTGGTGGGAAAGTAAGTGCTGATCACAACAGTAGAGCAGGTATCAGCGAAGGTAGCAGTAGAGTAGTAAAACGGAAAACAAACAAAGCTCCACCGATGATGAGTTAAGAAAATTAAAAAAGGGGGTTATTCTGTCAACCAGCAACGAAGAATTTGACCCGTATTTGCATAACAGAGGCTACGATGACTTACACTCACTTACATACACTTAAACATTCAAAGGTCGCCTGTCATACATTCAAAATCTACGCTATAATGCAAGAAGAATTAAGCCCTTACAAAAATTCTCCGAAATACTCCCTTTTCCCCACCAACATTCTCCAGATAATCACAATTGAGTTTTTACATAGCCAGCAAATGTGTCTCGTCTAGACTCGTCGTGACCTGGAATTTACAATGGTCTACTGGAGCAGTTTTTTGTGTTTCTGTTAACCAAAGTTAAAAGATATTTTTATCGAGTTTTGGTCAAAATCAGCTCATGAGTTTTATGTAAAATAAACATAAGATAGAGTAGTGTCTCTAGTTTGCTTATGTTATGTCTATGGATAGACAAGACAAAGAAGCAGATATTTACAAGTAATTTAACGACTTAGTTGACTTAGTGACTGTTTCCACCACTTTTTTTTCTAGGAAGACATCGTCAAACGTACGCGGATAAGCTTCTACTTTTAATTTCCTTTTTCTAAACAAAACTCACTTGTAATCAACAAATACCTATACAAAGAAACTGAGTATGATTGTGACCTCTACGTCACTTGCTAAACAAAACCAAAACTTGAAGTGAATATATAAACTGTATTTTTCCCCCCAAATCTGCCACCCCTAAAATTCGTTCTAGGCGTGCGCCTAATCCGCACCTTATGGGAAATACACCCCTGACCAGCCTCGTCGCATGTTCTTTAGAACTTTCAGCTTGATGTCCAGCATGCATCGCAATACCGCATCTGTAATAAAAAAAAGAATTAGAATCACTGCAACAGAATAGGAACGAAAACAAAATAACTGAAGTAATGAGGAAATAGTACTTTGTGTACCAAGGCGGGAAAGTGGATGTTTTCCGGGGCTAGTCGATAAAACATCTACAAAGCGACAGTTTCACACAGATCCTTTTTTCGTCAAACTTTTTACTGTACATACCGACACAAAGGTCGGATTAAATCATGAGCGACACTAACATTGTACTTAGTACAAAAATTTGCAACGTTAGCAGAAAATTAAAAAAATTGGGATAACCTTCAAAAGGCTATGGTTTGCTAGCGAACTTTTTACAGCACAAACCAGAAGGGAACAAGAAGGTGACATAATAGAATAGGTAAAGTATTGAGGGAAATAAATTTCTCCTTTCACCACCCACTACCACACACACATTTCCCACTCGCAGATCCACCCTCAGTTTGACGTGCAGCATAAGGTGTAATTCTCGAATCTGCAATTCTAAGAAACAAAAATTATAAATAGGACACAAAAAGTAAGATAGTTAAAATTTTCAAAAAAATAATTTCTAGGAATGGGCACGAACTCCGACTCGGCTTGAGGCCTAGGCGCCTCGTCCGTAAAACTTCCGACTTGTCAGCGAAAACTCACTTCTCGTCCTTGGTAAACAATATACTATTCCAATTTTTAAAAATAGTTTTCATTGTTTATTTGTACACATGCGCGCATATATAATGATTTGCTTATATTTATTCAACTTATTAAAATTACTTGATGATTTAAGTGTCTTATAACGTTCAATCTCATTTGTAATTTGAATTGTTTTGAATTAGAGCCGAACTTATTTTTTTCGAGCCGAGCTTGAGATCCATAATTTCGAGCCGAACCAAGTTTTTCAAAAGTTCGGCTCGATTCCATCCCTAATGATTTCTATTCCCTAATATACCACCCAATTTCAGTGCAACGCAGTAAGAATCTGCAATTACAAGAAGAAGAATTATAGAATGACTGCAAGAAGTAGTTACGAGAGAAATAAATCTGTAATTATAAGAGAAACATTACAAATAAAGAACAAGAGCAAAGAAAAAAGGTAATTGTTTCAATTAAAAGTTACAAAATCGAATTTTCGTTTATGTGAATTCGGACGATTTATAGGTAATTAGATAACAGGAGAATTATTTAAAGCGTTATTAAACCTAAATCTACTAAGTATAGGATATTGCATTCATTCGTTCATTTTCATTTTATTTATTGTGCCATATTGTGCTTAAATAATTACATAGTAATTTTTGCACTCGTCCTATGATTACTTTCTCTTACAAAATTGTCTAGAAACACTATTTTAAGTTTTTCACAGATAAAAAGAGAATTTTTTTAACCGTTAGACATATCTAATGCGAAATTTTATGCTCCTAAATGAAAAGTTTTCTTTTTTCAAGATTAGATTAGAGTGCGGATCATTGCAAAGCTGAAGATTGTATAAAGCTTGAATATGTAAAAATTTCGGTTATCCTACTCAATTAAACCATACTAATTTGACATATATTTCGTCTTTCTACCAACGAAGATATACAGTGTGTCCCAGATCGCGTGGGATTGTATGGGTAACTTTGTTATTATTAAAGATAGATAGATAATTAAAAAATAAAAGTAAAGTGGAAGTAGCTACCACTACAATAATAATAATAATCATCAATGGCAACACGTTGCCTAAACTAAACTGTCTTGAAGTGTGTTTCACTAATAATGGCCAGTATTTTAAACATCTGGTGTAATGATTTTCATTGTTTTGTTGCCTCGAATAGATTTTGTTTTGTTTTTTTTTAATTCATCACAGCCTACTTGATTAAAATATAAAAACCGTTGATATAACTGGTATCTTATTTTCAATCTTATGTTATGATAGCTCGTTGAAAAGAGAATTAAAAAATCTATCAAGTAATCTAAAAATCCCATATAGCGCCTATTTAACTTTAGGAAGTTGGTAAATGTTCCTCAAAAGTAGCAATCTTGAATTTTTTTGACATCAATTCTAAATTAAGCGTATCAAAGACAGTCACTTTTATATAAAACTTTTTTTTATCCCTCTTATACTTTCGATGATATAAGACATTCAAGGAAATGACCAATTTTAGTTTTTTTGAATTTACGTCGAACCTATGCGACATTTTGAATTTCCATAAGGAAATTTTAAATAAGCATCCAAAACTGCAAAACATTGCCCATTTAACCAATTCTCTATCTTTAATAATAACAAAGTTACCCATGCAATCCCACGCGATTTGGGACACACTGTATAATATTACGTGCAATACTAGGGGATTTTACTGGTTAAAACGAGAAAATTTGTAACTTCCTTCCACAACTTAAATAACGAGTATATAAAGTCAACGAAACGTGAGAACAATCTGCACCTCTCATTTTACACGTTTAACAATGTCTAAATACTAGGTAAATACTTACCCACACTGCGGAAATATCGCAGAGAGTGCGCTCCTTTACAAATCGACTTCAACAAGCTGTCTAAACCTAGGTTTTATTGACGATGTACCGCAAGTTCATGCAGCAATTCGTTTTATACCTTCAGCGGTGGATTGTATCCGTATACGTAGTTTGCGTGAAAAATGTAAATTTAAGCAAATAACGTGTCGTGACATCTTTTTGTTCTTCTCCCTTTCTTGGCAACGCGAAAGGTTGAACAATCAATCGATTGTTTGGTACCAATTACGTGTGCATCAGGTTGTCCCTGCTGAGCACAATATGAACAACTAAAAATTGTTTAACTCGGTATGAATGGTCGACTCTTTTTTACTATTTAGATATATTGGCTCTTTCCTCCGTAATTCCAAATTGGTAAATTCTATCCATACATCTAAAAATTAGAGTCACTAAATGTCACTAAACAAAACACATAAGATAGACGGATGAAATGGAAGCCTCATATAAAATTTTCCAAACGTGCTCCTCTCACGTTTGAGATGTGAAAGAAACATAATAGTTCCTCTAAAACCGGTAAAATCCATACATTTCTAAGTATCACGAACAGTTTACCACCATATTTAATAACCACCGATAACTGGAAAAACATTCTCCAATCACTGGTTAAAACTAAAGAGGCAAAATTTGGATGTATTTAGTTACACATTTTCGACTTCCTTAAAATTACTCAGAGATATTTCAATGCGAAAGTTTAAATTTCAAACAGAAATGGCATCTTGCGATTCTACAACAAACGTTAATCGCAAATTTCGTAAAATATGTATGGAACAAGGAGCAACTTTGAGTTAAATAAAACCAAACTGGTGGAAATAAATGGAAACAGACACTTTTATACACGAAACGCGAATACCATACATCTTAATCTCCGAGGGTGAAGTAAATAGTAGTTTGTACTAAATATTAATTAGAGGAAATTTGAACTTCACTCGCAATACGAGGCCGCCTCCCAGTAGGCTGTAGATAATTTATGCGATTTGCGGAACACTAGAAGAACGTCTTCGTAAATATGCAAATTGATCATAAAATTAATTTTTGTAGCAATTAAGTATCTGGAGAGCTTTTTTATTACCCCAAACATTTCTTGTACGAGTAATAAAATTCTTCATCGGATTTTCTTTTATTGTTATTAATTTCGTCGTTTTTTAGCAAAAAGAAATGTAAATTATTCACGGAAATTTTAAGATAAGAACGAATGATATTTTTTTATTGAAATGCAGTCTTTCATTAAAAGCCTTGTTTGCTCATGTTATGTTCAATGGCAGTAAATATGTCAGTAGTTGCAGACAGAGTGATATGATCCCATTGTTTTACTGATTGTGAATCGCAAGGGATATATGTGCGCTACAGTTTCATATTAAAAATTTGCTAAGCAATAGATGAATGTCGTATGTTTCCAGAATAAGCTTTTTTTTCTGATGAAGAGTCACGTCGCGTCATTACGACCCTCTGCTACGTATAATTAGAGTATTTTTTGTTGCTCACGCTGCTCCACAGATACTTTTCGGCTCATTTGAAAGGACGTTCTTAGTTTCTATCTCAAATAGTGACACTAATTTTATTACTATCTATAGTAGTATGCCTACCTAGAAAATCTTATAGTAACGGTTCACGGGGATCGGAGTGAAAAGGTGTATATAACCCCACACCAACCGTTTTTGCAAAGATAAGTGTTGCGATATCTAACCAAGGTCCGTTATTCATGTGGAATCTTTGTGAACTCCAAAGATGTCAATTAATAATAAAGTATAAGCCAAAGGCCACGATGGGTGTGGAATAACCCTTTCAATAGCCGAGATTGAAAGAGAAGGAGGGACGGTCCATTCAAAACAGCACACCTAAACGAAAGACGAAGAGGGGCCCCGATGCAGGACCCCAAACGCATAAATATTAGAGACATGAACGACATGATAATTCAGTGAATAAAGACGATATCAAAGAAAAATGAAAGACTCGATGGACTCATCTCAAGAAACACGGCGAAAGACATCAACGAAGTGACCCTAGAGTTAAGGAGTGTTGCATCTCAGCTAGCAAACGTAGAAACAATTTATTTCATCCAGAGCGCACCTTGCACAAACAACTATCCCATTAAATCATCGATAATGAAGCAGCGAAACAAGGAAATAGTTTGCAACAAATTAATACAAAGCTAGGATTAAAGGGGGGGACATTGTAAGAACCGCATTGAAACTGCCAACGATTGGGAAGTGGCACAGAGAGATTGGCCGAAGGGCCGAGCTAGAGGACAATGAAGAATGGGTAGTAAACGAGCTGGTACTTTGGGGCGTAGGTCTTGGTAGGAAATGGTTGGCAGACATCCAGAATTGCGATAGAGTGCAGACTTTTAAAGGAGGCGTTACCACCTTCAGGAGTTCAAGAGCGATCCTGGAAGAAGGGGAGGAAGACAAGATTGACTTTTCCCTGCAGCACTAGAGGGCAACAATGGCTCCCTGAAAAAGAGGTGGTTGC